ACGGTACTATTTTTCTTTCTTTCCTTCCTCCTCCTTTCTTCACTGAAAGTTCTATTGCCTCTAGAATAACCCTGCAAATATTTGAATTTATATTATTTACATCTGCTGTCATGTCAATTTTTTGTAATTCTTGTTCACTGATATAATTAAATTTATTCCATTCTGCTTTGCTGAAATTCCATTTTTTATTCCCCTCTACTTTGCTGCTTTCTGGTTTTATTTGTATTTTAATTTTAATTGGGTAATGATCGCTTCCATTTGTTGTATTCTTATCAATATCCCATTCACAACTGCCAGCCAGTGAGTTTGATACTAGTGTTAAATCAATTGCTGATTCTTCTCCTGTTCTAACGTTGATTCTGGTTCCTCTTCCATCATTAAGACACACTAGGTTTTTTAATTCCATCAATTCTTCAATTTCTTGACCATTTTTATCATTACTTTTACCCCAGAGTGTACGACCATTGAAATCCCCACACCAGATTACCTTTCCTTCTAAATATCCCATTATTTCTTCCAATTATTCAATTGTTATATTTTTACAAGGGTTATAGAAATTTATTATTTTATATTTTCCATCTTTGTCCCATATTTCCACCACTATATATTCTAAATCTACTCCTTTTCTTAATATTTGATATTGTGTTCCTTGTTTTATAAATATTCCACACCCTCCTCCATTTCCCTCCTGCCGATCCCTTCTGATGCTATCATACCCTTTAATTACAAATTCTAATGATGCTTTTAACCATGTTTCCTGTATACATATTATTTCTGTTTTTTCTTCTAATTTTTCAATATATCCCTTAAATTCTTGTCCATTTTCAATAAGACTTCTGGCATTCCATTGCAGTATTAACATCTGGGTTTATCGCCCAGTCTTACCGGTCTCCCATCTATTTCCAGCCCTTTGTTTATGTTTTCCCAAGATGCCTCTTTGACTCCCAGAAACTTTTCTGCCCCCCTTTCTATTATTTTAATCTTCTCTGTTCTTTGCTTAACCTGATCTGTGCAGTTGATGACATATGCTATGAATAAAATGAGTTTTTCTACTGACAGTGTGATGTTTTCCTCCGTTTGCAGTTTGGTTTGTTGTGAAACTTGATTCTCTGACTGGTCTGCTTCTCTTTTCTTTTGTCCCTGAACACTCCTGACTGCTTCTGCGTAGCTAATATTTTTAGTCATTTTGATTTGTTGTATTTCTACCGCTCTCTTTCTCACCTCACATTTTCCAGAGTTAGCTCTATGTTGACCCCCACAGTTACAGCACTTTTCTTGTTTCTCCTCTCTGCATTCTTCTATCCTGTGCTCCTCTCCACATTTAGGACACCTCTGCTTGCCTTTACACACCGCTGCCATGTGTCCATACCTCTGACATTTGTAGCATCTGAGTGGTGGGGGGATAAAAGGCCTGACCGGGAAACTCCATCCATCCATCCATTATCTTTACCCGTTTATTCCATTTTGGGTCACGGGGGTCGCTGGTGCCCATGTCCAGCAATCACTGTGCGAGGGGCGGGGTACACCCTGGACGGGTCGCAGGTCCATCACAGGGCCACATAGAGACAAACAACCATTCACTCTCTCTCTCTCACCTAAGGACAATTTTGAGTTACCAATCAGCCTAACATGCATGTTTTTGGTCTGTGGGAGGAAACCGGAGTACCCGGAGAAAACCCACGCATGCACGGAGAGAACATGCAAACTCCACCCAGAAAGGCCCCCGGACCGGGGTTTGAACCAGGGACCTGCTCGCTGAGAGGCAGCAGCTCTACCAGTTGCGCCACCGTGCTGCCCACCAGGAAACTCATAAATCCTATTTTTATTTTATTTGGCATTATTGTTTCGGAGAACTCTATTAAAATAGACATGCTTCCCACTCTTTCTCCATCAGCTGTTCTCATTAATCTCTTTAAATTGTTCACCTTTACTCCGACAATGCTTCGTTTTAATTTATCCAAATCCTCCTCCACTGGTATTCCTGTAATCACTCCCTTCAGTAATTTATTTTCTCCAACATTGTGTTTCTCTATCACCACCTTTTTGCAGATATTATCAACTTGTAATGCTTTGATTTTTTGTTCTTCAGTTTTGCAGATTAACAGTAAGTTTCCATCCTTCAACACCTTCACTATTTCTACATCTCCTATTTTCTTTTTTATTTCTTTAGATATTATAATTGGGCTTAAGTATCCCTGGTTTTCCTCCCTCTTAAACTTGAGAATTATTTTAAATTCCTCCCTCACGACCTTCCTACGAATTGTTCTTTCTTCATCTGAACTATTTTCCTCTAATTCTCTATTTCCTTGACTATCTGACACCCTCCCACCTTCCTTCGCATCTCCGCCGCTTCCTCGACCTTGTCCTTTTCCTCTTCTTACTTGCGTCCAATCCTTTAACATCATGTCCTCCTCGTTATCTCCTACCTGGTTTGCCATTCTGACCCAGTCACATTCCAGCTTATGCCAACCGTCCACTCCAAAATCCACAATTTTCCATCAAAAGTTTGTCCGTCCAAGTTTGAATTTCGCGCTCCCAAACCGGACGCTCCCTCTCTGTCAGTTCTCACTCACTCCTCAACTTGTCTTTCCTGCCACTAATCAGTCACACCAGTTTCCAATCAGAATCATCCCAGGTGAACTCATTACTCAACCTACCTCTGCCTTATTTAAACATCTCCTCTCCAGCACTGAATAATCTGCTTTTTGTTCTGTTATGCACACAGATGTCCTGGTCCTCTTCTGTTTTCGCCTGCACCAGTTTCTGTCTGATTATCCGTCCGTCCTGGTCCTGTTAGTCTGATTATCTGCCCTGTTCCTGTTCGCCCTGATTATGATGTTTTTGCTGCCTTGTCAGCCTTTTGTTTTGTTTAAATAATTTTTTATTTTAAAATCCTGCTCAACTTGTTTGCCTGCCAAGGCATCTAAAAACTGAGGATTATGTTAGAATGAACGGACCTGACCCAGACCCAGCAGGTTGTACGTTCCGAACTGAGCATGAGCCTGAATATCATCAACTCCACAGGGTAGCACATAATTATATTGACACTATGGCCACCTCCAATGATCTATAGGAAAGGATGGTGGCCATCGAAGACTTTGTGAACGTGTTTACCCAGTTAGAGGTAGAGGGTGATGAACCGGGAATGTATGAACTGATTGTTAAAGCCTGGACTGAGAGACATGCTTTACGCTTTCTTCTCCTGTCGTCTGTCGTTCGGCCCCCCGGTCATCCCAGTTACCTCCTAAAGTTGACAAAAATTAGCCTGCCTACAGCCTCATCTCCATGTTGCTCAATGGGTGTTG